TGGCCCCAAAGTAGATCCCAAGGTTATTCCATCAATCGTCGGTACATTTAACCGTTGAATGCAAACTGAACGTATAACGTGCAGCAAAGTAGTAGCTCTTTTAGCCAATACCCCGAAAAGTTTGCGTATATTGGCAGTTGCCTCGTCAGCCGGCACATATAAGCTGCCGTATCGAGAGGTGGAATCTTTGTAAACAGAAACTGAGCATCAAATGATTTCAGTCGTTAGTTAGGTTGAGTTTAAATACCTTTCCAATGAATTCAAAGCTCTTACGCAGTAAGTGCAAACCGTAGTAGTTAACAGCTGCAAAGCCTATATTGTCCATTTGGCTAACAAATGCTGGTGAGAACCCACCATTGTCTAAGATTGGTCGCATTAAGACAATTTCCATATGAACTTTAGGAAGTCCAGATAGTCCCTGGAGTTGTCCCCTTGGAGGCTTCAGCTTTTCCTGTTCGTTCTTTGTGATGAGTTAAGCTTGTAACAGCTGCCTGAGACAGCCGATAAACTGTTTTTCTAATTCTCCTATGTTGTTCTTCCCTGCCACGAGTTTATGGAGCTTATGTCTGTCTTTAAGAATGTGCGACCTTTATAGCAATCTGGAGATTCCCCGGTTTGCCTGTGTAAAATTCTAACTAAAATTCTATCATTGTACACCTAGGCAACCTGCGTGGTTTGTTGAACTGATTGCTGAGTTCGAATGCTTGACTTGCTCATCGTCATTTTTGCTTGGCCCTGGTTTCTGTTGCAACTCGCGGCTGCCCCGTGTGCTGTGCATGCTCCATTCCCCTAGCTAAAGCGTCCACGGTGTTGTTTCTTTATAACTAGATAACAAAGAATCTTTTACTGTACCAATAAAGGTTTCCCTGCAACTCGATCTGTCTTCTCGAATCGCTCTCTGGTCTCCCGGTATAAGCGACGCTATATACCTTTTACAGACATAATCCACCCTATCTATTAGCACCGTGCCAAGTATCTTGTTTGGCATGGGAATTAGTACTTCGTTACTTATTCGTAACTCTTAACATAAGTGAATCTACCCCTTGTAAAAATACCGTCACTAGATGGTTTAACCGTAGTGTCTTTATGACTGTTATACAGTAGGCTTTTTTTAGATCAGCAACGTCATTAAATGGGGATAGAAAAGGGTCGCTAATCCGTGCGATTGCCCTTTCAAACTGCGCCTTTAAAGACAACTGATCTATTTTCTTACATGGAATGTAAAACCTGTGGCCTAATGATAACACATGCAACTGTGTCGAGCTTAATACCACACTAGAAAGGGTAGACACATACCATTCCGGTTCCTTTGGAGAAGTCATTTGCGGGGTCTGGTCGTTAAGTGTACAAGATGAGTTTCTTTGTTTTCTTGCTCCAATGTTCAGCCTAACTAGTTACACATATTGCTCAAAATGGTGGATTTGGATCTTTAGACAAGCCACAGACCGTGACCACCGTTACGAAAGAAATCATAACAACACCGAAATCTTAACACGCATAGTAGTCAGCTACCTAAATGCATGTCTCTTTAGTGACTTTGCTTTTGGGTAGAGCCCACGTCGCCGTTTTCCCACCAAAGGTGATAGTGAAAACGGCTTGGGTGCACGCATGCATTAAGGAATCGTAAATTCAGCATGGATTCTGCCTGCCTTACTAAAGTTTAGGCGCTTATTCAAAGGTTTCTACAAGGCACAGGCAACACTGTCCTTTAGCAATTTATACTAATTTCATTAAGACGGCGATGCACGATGATAAAATCTACGTAGTTCGTAAGAATTACTTGCGGCACCTTACCAAACTAGGTGGTCAAATTTAGCCATGTGAAAAGGCACAGTAAGTTAGCGTCCTGTTGTTTTACTGCAGAGAAACTAAATATGATTATTACGGTCGACAACCATACAGAAGTAATTAAGAAGTGATAACAAGGATTGCATCTCTGGGACAATCGAAACAAAAGTAGCAGAAATAGGCATCTTTTTGTGTTTCCGTTTATTAGTACCGACATCAAAGGTATGATGGTAAACCGTATCGAAGCTTCACGGTACCAAAGCAACACCAGTCGTGAATGGGCAATCGGTGCTGCAAGGTCACCGACACATGTTTCGACCCGAACCAGAGACCCAGACAATAATATTCAGACGTCTTATCAGGAAAGCGAGCAAGTTGCTCGCTTGCATGTATTTAAGTCTTACTTTGACTTGAATAAAACTGCATATTTCTCTCACCATTTTAATGACAAGTTATCACCAACCACCGCGCACTGCGTATTGAGCTTGCACACACAAACCTCTTTATACCACTCTAGTTTGGCTTTCTACGGATGTTTATCCGTTTTGAATCCCCTAATTACTAAGAGTGGACCTCGTAATTTAAGTTTATTCACCTTGTTTCTATACAGTTCTTCACACCTACCAGTTAGACACCTTAGTGGTCTGCCCATTTGGAGCTTTTCAGCTTCGCTTAATGCGCTTCCCAACGCTTCTGTGTGCTCCTTGTATTTTGTCTTATTTCGGACTCATTTTCTATCTTATTTATTTGTAGCAGGACTACTAGGTGAGCAATAAGTGCCCTAGAAGCGCAAAGTCGGCGCTTCAGTAATGTTGTTGCGGCGGATATAAATAGAAAAATAGACCCCGTCAACCCTGTTTCTATCTAAACTATACGTGGAAAAAAATAATCGCCGATAAACATGAGCAATGATGGAGAAGCTGCGTAGAGTCGTTGGAAGTTTCACACACACTGCTCTCGTAGTGGAGAAAGTAAACGGCAAATCCTGTGGTCACATATATGCTACGGCATTGCTTACCATTTTACTGTTGCAACTCTACCCAGAAACTTCATTACTCAGTTATAGTGTAACATTTTACAAGGAATTAACACATCTGTAGTCTTTCAAAGCGTCGGGACAAGACGGACTATCTCCTATAGTCCTCAAGGAATGCCAACATCTTAGTACCGTTTTTGAACTCTACACCAGCTGTCTACATCAACACCAGCAAGTAGACTGCTGGAAAAGCACCCGCAGTACACTCGTGCCAGAAAAGGAACCTGTAAGTACCGGCGCACTGGCTGTACCTTTGTGGCTTTGAACGTATTAGAAAGAATCATAGTTGGTAAAATGATTGTTCAAACCAAGTTGTATGATCCTTTTCAATTCAGCTACCGAAGTTCATGGTTTACCTTGGATGCATTAGCTTGTCTATACACGCCAAGTTTTTATTACTCGATAGCAAAAACAAACCCACTTGGATCTTGTTCGTAGATTACAGCAACGCTTTTGGTTGTGTAAACCGCGAGCTGCTATTACATGACCTGCTAGTTTCAGGAGCTCAACCTTCATTGAACTATTTTCCTAGACTATTTTGTTAATCGTCTGCAGTTTACCAAGATTGGGGGAAAAGCCCTTCTTCACTTACCCCAAGTTCGAATGGTCTTCAGGGAGCTATTTTTCACTATTTCTGTTTTCCATCCACAATAACTCCATTCCCGCTTCTAAAGAAGCCATCCTATTAAAGGATGACGATGACGTGATCCTTGGTATACATAATCACGCCACAGATTCACCGGCCAACTTGCAATGCTTCTTGGACAACCACATTTCCTGGTCCAAATCTCGCTGTCTTTCGCTCAACACAACGAAGTGAAAAGATGATTTTTTCGCGCTAGCCAAGGAAGGCTGTTATCAACAGCTCCTGACGCACAGCCTCTGTATTGACAGTGTTGGTCAAAACTTCTTTACAGTCGTAAAATATCTCAGTTACACTAAGCCGGGATCTCAGGTGATCGCATCACCTGAATGAAACATTCACTAAAGTCAGGAGACTAAAGTTCTACGTTGCCCGACTTAGCTCATCATCCGTGCCTGGTTACTTAATTCTACGGTGTATCACCGCTTGCCTACTACCACACTGGGCGTATTGATCACCTTTGATATTTCTCAGACTTTTGCCTGGGTAATTCAAAGTAATCAACAGGTCACTGAAGTATCTTACTCAATGCAATGGAATGTTTAGACTAGTGTTTATTAACCTCATTGAGTCCAATCATGTTGGCTCCTGCGAAAACTGGTGTCCAATTAATTCACTGAGGCCAGTCATCATTTGTATCGTGCACTGTAGGAATGCATCTCAACTTTTTCGACCAGAAGAACGTACCAAGCCACTTATGCCCGCAAACAGGCTTACAGTATATCAGTTGTGCTCTATTTATTATGTTTGCTGAGGGTGCAAGTTGTAGTCAAATAACTCCTTATTGCCAGACTGAATGGATGAAACCGCCACTGCTGGCGCACCATATACATTTGTCATAGTTTTATTTGATATAATTTGTGCCAGCAGCGTGTGTGTTGTAGCTGAATATTCACTCTTCACGGGTGCATAAAGCGCATTGTTGCATTGAATTTATTTTTAAATGCACACAAAAGGGTGCAAGAAAAATTATGTCCCACATACTTGCAAAGTGGTGGGGCATTGTATAAATTGTGTTTGATGCGCACACTTGTACGTTTGGTACAATAAATTTCAAGCGAAAGTTGCAATAAAAACCACTAAACCTTTACCAAACTAGCTGGAGTCATTACGTTCAGTAATTAGATGAAGTATTGATGGCAAAAATAATATAACGTCAAAGCAGCCAACCTGATAGCGATAAATATATAGGAACAACTATATGTTTTGTTTTTTAATATAACTGAACAAGGTTAGATTGAGAATGGAGGGTGGGAAATTTCTCCTAAGTGTCCTAAACCAAAGCCAAGAACAATGTAGTTACTAAAGATATAAACTGCCAGCAAGTTCACTGGACAACAAAGTAATAGCAAAGCTAAGAAAAAAAATTTCCCTGGGGTAATGGTTTAATAATTAGACGCAGTAGTTAAAACGATTAGTATGAATTGAATATATGCGGTTACTCAAACCTATACGAGACCATCGGAACACTGCGACTAAATATGGTTATTACAATTCCATATAATAACAGGAATAGGTTATCCGTTTTCTTACGTTTTCATGAGCGAACTTGTTAGTAGTATTCAATCGGTCTTGTGATAAGTGACGTTTGGGAACCCCGAAGGCTTGAGTTACAGTATCGTCAAATGCAGAAATCGCAGACTTGAAATCCGCTTCACAGTAGAGTAATTTCTTTTTACGTCCGACATTAACCTTTCTACTCTCGAACCCAGCGAGCATAATTGGATGAAGCGCACGTAAACTTAATAATTAATTGAATTAGTGGAAAAATAGAATAAAGTAAAACAAACAGCTTTTTAAAACAGATTATTAACCTCTGTAAAACTTTAGCCAGACTGAACCACTTAACAGAATAATGCCACTTGTTACTTTTGTTTAATCCCACAGTGCACGCCATTTTGCCATAGAAGTAATCAGGTCAGGTCAAAATCCGTGGACGATACAGGCTTCCGCCTAACGAGCGTCCAGCTTCTTGTACCGGTAAGCGAACCAGAGCCCCCGGCACTTCGACTTTTGATCGCCTCTCCTTGCCTCTGCAAAAAGAAATGAAGCAAAAGCGAGAGCAATCTTTGCTTTTACAAGGATCAACATCGGATAACAATGCGAATAAATTGGATAGGATTATATTAATTCCGGAAAAATACGCGGCCAGCACCTGTCTAGGCCTGCTTTGAAGGCAACCACAGTCTCACAATCCATTAGTTCCGAAGGCAACTTATTCCAGTTGCGCACTACACGATTTGAGAAGAACTTAGCCCTGACGTTCAGTCTAGCTCTCTGTTGTTTGAGCTTCAAGCGATGTCCACGCAAGCGTTCAGAATCAGCCAGCTCAAATAAATCAGAGGGCACGATGGCACTGAAGCCCTTCATGATCTTATATGTTTCTATCAGATCGCCTCTCAGTCTACGCCGTTCAAGGGAAAACAACCCCAGGCTCTTTAGGCGATCTTCATACGGCTTCCCCCGTTGACCTTCAACCATCCTGGTTGCTAGTCTTTGAATCTTCTCCAGGCAAAGAACATCATCACGGAGATAGGGCGACCAAGCTTGAACACAATACTCTAAGTGTGGCCTAACCACTGCTTTGTATAGTGGCAGGAACACTTCTGGCTTGGTATTACACAGAGCCCTCCTGAGGCGAAACAATTCTCGTCGCGCTTTGTTGACGGCGTATCGACATTGCATCGAAGGCTTGAAGCTGCTCGTCATGATGACTCCTAAATCGCGTGCCTGGGTAGTGCATTGTAAGGGGAAGGGACCAAAGGAAGTCTGAACTGCAAGTACGTCTCTACTAGTGGTCAGAATTTGGCACTTGCTTGCATTCAAAGGCAAGTCCCATTGCTTCGACCAGTTTGCCACACTGATGATATCCTTGGCCAGTGTTGCACGGTTGCCCCTGCTGACTAGCTTCAAGTCATCCGCAAGGATGTAACAGGGGTCTTCAATAAGAGGAGCCAAGTCGTTTATAAACATAAGAAACAAAAGTGGACCTAGCACCGATCCTTGGGGTACTCCACTGTAGGCCACGCCCACACTAGAACTCACATCACCGATTCTAACTCGAAACGTTCTCCCACATAAGAATTCTGACACCCAAGACAGAAGTCTAGGATGTACTCCGAACCATGCTAATTTTTCAAGTAGGAAACGGTGATTTACTGAGTCGAAAGCCTTGCTAAAGTCAAGATAGCAGACCTCTACCGGAATCCCGTCGTCAAGACATCGAGTAATCTCATCGAGGAAGCACAGTAGATTAGTGAGGCACGACTTCTTTTTAATGAAACCATGCTGCTCTGCTCTAAGTAGACTGTGTTCCGCCAAATGCTCACAAATCCGGTTTCTTATAAGCTTCTCTAAACACTTGAGCAGAACACAGGTTAGACTGATGGGTCTGTAGTTAAGGGGCTCCGATTTGGAGCCACCCTTGTGAATTGCAACTATGGCTGCTTCCTTCCAGTCTCGTGGCAACTTGCATTCCTGGAGCGACAAGTTGAACAGCTCCAGAACAGGATGTTGAAGGATGTCAGCTAGTGGCTTGACTATTGCCGGATGTACATCGTCAGGACCGGCTGATTTGAAGGGATTCAAGTTAGTCATCACAGTAAAGACCTCTTGCGCAGTCAGCACGATGTCCTGCATTATATAACTGCTGACACAGTGTGGCTGCGATGGTGCAGCACATCCATTGTCCCTCCTATGCAGATGCTGAAAGACTCTTAGCAGCATTTCAGCTTTATCTCTGGCTTCCACAGCCTGGCTGCCATCTTCCATATTTAGACACCCAACGTCCTCTCTTAGGGAGGCTTTAGACTGAACATAGCCGTAGTAACACTTTGGATTTGTTTTCGCATACCGAGCCAGCCGAAGCTCATAAGAGTATTTAGCCTGCCGTTGCACCTTGATAGCCGTATTCCGGCTTTTTGTGTACTGTAGCCATCGTCGAAAGCCCCTGGCCTCAGTGAATTTTTTCCACTTCTCATTTCGTCTCTTTAGAGCTCTATCAATTCTCCTCCTCCACCATCGAGGCCTGCTGAAATGTCTCGCAGGACGAAGAGGAGCAAACTCATTCAATAGTTGTACTAAACCAGTTTTAAGCACAGACCACCTTTGTTCCAAAGATGCCTGTTCCTGGTCAGGGATCCAATTGACCTGGAGGGCTCTATCCCTCAATTTCATATGGTCAATGCGGCTGAAATTTCTCACGAGGCGAGGATGTCGTGCAGGCTTCAAGGTATTTAGGCAGAAAGTGAGGACGCAGTGATCACTCCTACCTAAAGGTGCTTCCACTTGTAGCTCTGCGAAACGACCGTGTTTGGTGATGGCAACATCCAACGTGGAGGGGGCACTCCCGATTCGGCTCCTGGTCGGTATATTGATGTATTGTTCAAGTGCATTCTCATGCATCCAGTCAACCAGTTCCTGTTCCAATGTATCCGCTCTGTTTGCGGTGCCTTGCCAATCCGCATGAGGAAGGTTTAGATCACCAACTATTAGGAAATTAGGCGCAGCAACCACTGCGCGCCTCAATAGTGCACCGAGCCCTTTGTCCTCCTCTCGTGTGGACGATGGACTGCGGTAGACACATATAAAGATCTCCAACCTGCCCATCATCCTTAAGTAACAAGACACCACCTGAACGTTCGTATTACTCATCATAAACGGAGCCTCCCAATGACTATACTGGCGCTTTATAAGCAATAGTGCTCCCCCGCCAGTGTGGTGATCAGGCCTATCTACTCGGAAGTAATTCCACAGTATCAATCTTACCTAACTATTCGAACATTGTATATTATGGAGCAAAGTTATAAATAAATAAATAAATAAATAAATATTTTATTCTCGACTATGCGAGGCACGCTCATGGAGGCATGATCAGATATGTACAACGGTACAAACATTATAATGCAATTGGAACAGTAACGCAGAAAATTGTTCATATATCCATGATTGGAACTGTACAATGTTGAAAATGGGAAACAATAAGTTGGCTGTCATGAGATACGGGACCTCAGCTAATAAGAGATTGAGAAACCTGAATGATCCACTGAAAGGTAATGGAAGAGCCCGCACACAAGTAAGGAAAAGGGCAACGTATGGTAGGATGTAAAACGACAACAGTATATACAGATGTAGAAGTCCCAGTGTAACGATCCTATGTAGAATTGTGACGCTAGTTGACCTGCCAGTGTAAAGTTATGGGCTGTGACTTTATTCGGCGGCGAGTCACATACGCCACGTTGCAGTGTTGTTAAACGGACATTTGTGGCTTTTTGTAGGGAGAACGCTTGCCAGGCGAAAACCCACCACGTCCTGGAACACTGCCACCAATCCATTGAATGGCAAATTGTAACTGGCTATGTTTCTTGTTAAGAGTCTGTTTGCTCGGTTATTCGCAGTCAGGTTGCGTCCCATTTTTTCCGCTGGTTGATGCAATAACTGGTTGCCTATTGCGTTCCTGGGTCCTGTCCATTGGTAGGTTGGAACTTTACGTGACGCATGAGGTATAAAGAAATATAGTCGGGTCGTATAGAAAGGCTAAGCGACCTTATAGCAGTTTGGATTTACGTATTTGTTGTGTCTTCATTAGACCAATGTAGCATCGAGACAGAACGCATGCAGGCTCGAAGCGTGACATGCCACCACACCCCCTGCTAAGTTGGGCAAGAAGAGAAGCAGAACTGATAAATGTCTCCATCAAATGCAAATCGGTAGCGTTGGGGGTAGAGGAACAAGCTGTTTCGCCTGATGAGTAGCGGCAGGTTAATGACTGGAGATAGTCTGGGTTATGGTATTTCAAACTGCAGGTAGTCGTCACGGGGCAGAACACGATGAACGTCGACAAGATAACGGTCTAGGCGAACGTTGAAATCATCCGCAGCGGATGCGGTGATTAGGTCGACATACTTGTAGGACTAGTTAATACTAGTCAGAGACGATGCGCGGAAGTAAGCGCGGATATCAGAAGGCAATGGGAGTCGGACACAGCGGACTGTATTCGATGGGCTACAACAAGAAGCGGACGGATGAAGCGAGGCGAGAGCGAACACGTGAGCGCGGGAACTTACAAGGAAGTTGTGTGTCGAGCCGGTTGTAAGAATAAAACAAGAAGGAGTAATGTACAATCGGCCAACAAGTAAATTGTACATGAAAGATGAGTTATCTTTTTGGGTGCTACAGAGCTCCCCCTAGAAGGCTGAACATTGAAAGCCTTCGAAATCGAAAAGGAATGTTGAAACGAGGTTCGTGAGGCGAAATCGTGCCGAGTAGAAAAGAGCGTGCGTTCGTGTAATTGGGGACCTTCGGAAGTCGGAGTCCCCTGTGCAGTTTATGGTTTGTTATTTATTGAATGTAGGGCCGGATGCATTTCGGCGAGCCGTTGGAGCGGGCTTGTCGGACTACAAAAATCTGGCCAGCCCAGAAAAAGGGCGACAGGACCTTAACCCCCGCTGCTGCCAAACGGTGCGCTTAGGAGTGGTCTCTCCCCCCGCCGCACCCCGCCCCGCGCCAAAACGACCCTCGTCCCACGTAGAAACGACCATGGTCCCACGAAGGAACGACAATCGTCCCGCGAAGAGGCGATCCTCGTTCCGCGGAGAATCGACCCTCTTCCCGCGAAGAAACGACTAGTGTTCGCTTCAGGGCCCTCGAAAACATTCCTCGTGTAGGCCAGTCGATCGAAGGGCAGGGTTGGGGCATGTGGAGACGAGAAAATAGGAAAACACTCGCAGAAAACGCCAAAAAGAGCAAACAAATGATCAGCGTGTTAAATTTTTTGGTTTTTGGTGAGTTTGACTAATTCGGAGGGTTATGCGATGGGAGAGTGATTTTCTTGTTTGTCTGGAAAGTACGTGATGTGATGGGTCTGCGGTCGCCGACCACATGTATTTTTCTTTTTTGATTTTTTGTCTTGTTCTTGGCGTCTGGCAGTCTGGGGGAGCGATTCGCAAACGTTGAATATGTATGCGTAATCCAAAATTTGATTATGAGGTCACCAGTTGATGATGGCAGTTGTGTGAGGTAGCGTAGGTGATAAGATGATGTTTCGGTTAGTATAGTCTGTACAGATTAGTTGTTAGTTTTGAGATTGTTTGGGGGTAAAGGTATGTAATATTATCGATTTGTGGTGGGGGAGATGGTCTGTGGTTTGGTATCAGTGGTTATGTCGCGAGAGCGAACGGGGGTTTACGTACCTCCCGACACGGACGATGGTCGTTTTAGGAGGGGCGGGGGCTGGATGGGGCTATGGTCTTCGTGGGGAGTAGGTCTGATGCTTGATGAAAGCGTGTTCTAGACCGTTGGCAGTGCTGTGCGTCTGTGTTGGCAGGCATGAGTTAGCATATGGAGTAGGTGAACTGTGGCGTCATGCGACGAGGCAGCACTTGTTGGTAGCGGTCGACTAGACCTGAAGGATGATTTTGAAGTTTTTAGGGTGCAGGGTCGGTAAGTTTCTCCATAACGCGGGTTTTTAGCGGGGTGGTTGTCGATGCTGACGATCGGTGTCATGTATGGAGCCTCCGCTTTTGGGGTGAACCTTGAGGTTGGGTAGCTTGCTTTCTGGGGTTGATCACCGTCAGGGTATGGTCAACGATGTGTCAATACGTAGATTGTAGTAGTATGATATCAGGTTATAAGATGGAATTGTAGGGCCAGTGCACTTAACGGTCCCGCAACTACACTTTAGGCGTGGAGTCCCGCTGTGATGCATAGAGTATAAGCGCGTTGTGAAACGGAGGGCTGGATACGAACACTCTTGGTTGTCTGCTCGTGAAGAAAGACGTTTATTTTTGTGAACTACGCTGTTAGACATGCTTCTCGGGCACGTAAACTGATGTGTGGTCTTCCTGCGACCGACATGGAGCGGTTTTGCTGGGGAGACGTAAGCTCTACGCATTGGTGAGAGCCAATCGGTCAGTGTAACTTCCGTAGTCAAATAGCGGACGTGTACGATAGGGGACTGTATTATGGGGCTGGTGCTACCAGCTGTCTGGGCAAATGCAACCGCAGCGTGCAAACCGTAGATATGCTGAATGTTGCTGTCTGTGATTTTGGGATGCGGGGTCGAAGTCGGTCTTAACGTGTTGCTTATAGCTAAGTGTCTAAACTCACCACTAACAGTATATTTTCTTAATCTATAAATATATATATTTTATTTTTTAAATTAATTTATATTATATCCCCTCCGCAGATATATTGCCTCGCATATGTGTTCTTATTATACTTTATTTATC